GTCAACATAACTTGGTGCAGAAGTCTTCGCATCCTTAGTCCATCTACTTTGAATCAAAGTCTCGAGAAAATATGTGTAATCCAAGTGCTTCAAAATGTGAAGTTGATGGCGACACGAAGTCTGACGGTCTCAAATTTTTTGTATGAGCAATTTAGGGTTTTCGTACGAGAATCAAAACTAATTTCACATGTCTTATTTTTTTCTTTGTACTTTGTCAAAATATAATTTTGACCTTTATCTGATAAGGACTGAATCTCTTCCTGAATCCAGTATAATGTCTCTCGTTGAAGTTCATCTTGGAACGCACGAAAAGATTCGTGTGTATAAATCTCAGCAGCATGGCTTTCAAGGTCGACCAGTTTTGTGATCTGGAAGGGCTTCGTCTGGGAACTTAAGTAATCCACTTTCAACTCGTTCATACGCATTCTACTAATTCCATCTTCAATTACACGAACAACATCTAAATATGTCTTCTTGTGTTTCAGTGCAATCGCAAGTGAAGCATTCATAGACTAACACCTTTGTGTTGAGTGAATATTGGCAAAGAAATGACCAGTTAGATATGCTTGTGCCCATAAGTGCCTAGTATTTCCCTTCTCAATCACCCATGGATGCTTTTCCACGTTGAATTATGAAACAACCGAACGCCATTGAATTCAAATTCCTCGGTTGTCCACCAGGAAGCCATGCCTTTTAAGAATGCTGCTGTAAATTTTGGGTCACCGATATTACCTTGTGCATTGCGAGAAAGATGCCAAGAACATAAATTGTGCTTAGCATAAGGGATAACAGATTTGATAGCCCTCTGCATTGCCCTATCCCATCGGTGACAATTGAAATAGGTGATTTATTCATCATGGCTTCTAAAAAATTCTGTAGCACCCACTCGAAAGATTGGGATGTCTAGTCAGCGATTATGGCAGTGGAAAACACAATTGTGTTATGGTGATGATTGACAGCGACAATAGGCATAATTGGTCGACCATACAAATTATCTTTATACGTTGTGTCAAACGCAATTACATCACTGAAGCATGTGTAATCTGATCTCGATGTAGAATCCGACCAAATAAGATTATCTAATGCCCCTGATTCGTCTACCGAGTATGTCATAAAAAGCCTGGGATCATCATGTTTCTTATAATCAAAGAAAACAATAAGCGCATTCACATCCCCATCGATGATTTCCTTTTCTTTACCTCTTTGAAGTGCATTGTAGAGGCCTTTATGTGTAAATCCAACATTATGATAGCCCCCTGCCTGCTTCGTTAAATAGTTCATTACTTGTGATATGCCAACACCGACCTCTTTCAATGTTGTTGCCCTCATCGATATCAACCTTACTTACAGCTCTATTAGAACGCATAAATGGTGTCATACCAGGTGTGCACAATGCATGATTATGTTTATGATAAGACTTACTTATAACCCAGTGATAGTTTGTATTTGTTGTTGTAACTACGACTCTAGTCTTGCATCATGTTCTTGTGACTGGCGTATGAGCACATTGACAATCAACAGTGTTGACTTTTGATACTCGAAACCCTTCTTTGGAACAACAAATTCTTATGTCTTCACATTCCCTTCCACGTCAAGCCGTGTTGTTCCCTTACGTGCACTAAACCCATGTTCTCGTGCGAATCCCTTGTAAAAGTACCAAGCTTGATCACGTGAAGAGAAGAGCTGACCAACCAATCTGTCAGATTCGTCAACATTATGTACTTCATGGCATTCCTTGGTTGCCTTAACATTGTCTGCATCAGTATGATCCATGGAAAAAATTTTCTTGTGCAAGTTCAGTGGTCCCTAAGTTGATGGAGATATAAGTAAAGGTTCATTGAACAACATGTTTAAGTCGTGCTTTCAATAGGATGTGGTATTGGCAGTGGTAGTTGAAGGGTGGGTACAACATTAAACTCGCATGACATATTTAGGTATGTACAATAACTACCTAAATATGTGTCGATACATTTATAAAAAGTATTGATCCCAAAAACATCGAAACCCATAATTATAATGTAATAGGTAAATTTACAATGTAACCGGTATAAATTTATCGGTTTTATGAGAAAATATGTCTACATAATGTATCGACACTTGTGGAACTTGTGTCGATACTTGTTGTCCACAATGAATGACCAAAATGGTTCACGCATAAAGTGTCGATACATTTATAAAAAGTATCGATCCCAAAAACATCGAAACCCATAATTATAATGTAATACGTAAATTTACATTGAAACCGGTAGAAATTTATCGGTTTTATGAAAAAATAGGTCTACATAATGTATCGACACTTGTGGAACTTATGTCAATACTTTTTGTCCAGAATGAATACCAAACAGGGTGCACGCATAAAGTGTTGATACATTTAAAATTGTATCGATCCCAAAAACATCGAAACCGATAATTACAATGTAATATGTAAATTTCCAATGTACCCGATAGAAATATACCGGTTTTATGAGAAAATAGTTCTACATAATGTATCGACACTTTTTAAGTTTGTGTCGATACTTTTTTCCAGAATGAATGCCCAACAAGGTGCATCCATAAAGTGTCGATACATTTAAAATTATATCGATCCCAAAAATATCGAAACCGTTAATTATAATGTAATAGGTAAATTTGCAATGTTACCGGTATAAATAAACCGGTTTAGTTAGAAAATAGGTCAATATAAGCGCTACCTATTACATTATATAAGCGCCACCTAATATGTTATTGTACTTGATAATATTTCTGGTTAAATGCCTATTTTATTATATAAGCGCTACCTATTACATTATATAAGCGCTACCTAATATGTTATTGTACTTGATAATATTTTCGATTAAATGATATAACATAACAAGTCTAAATTTTAACCGATCACTTGTTTAACCGGTCACACAGTTTTTTAGCCGTTTTTTAGGTGTCACACAACAAAAGTTCCCCCAATTAGGAGTCGGAAGAAGACGAGTGTCTACATGCAAAACAGTCGTGACATACTATACATTTAAAATAATAATATCGAAAATTAAACATTTACATTAAATGAAAAATATTTTAAGCATTTAGGGTGTGTTTGGTTCACGGAATGTAAGATTACCAGTGGGAATAAAAGATTACGAGGGAATAGGATTACTGGGAATGTTGTATTTTGTGTTTGGTTGGCTTAGCAGGAATGTAAGATTACCGTGTTTGGTTAAAGGAATAAAAGATTATTGGAATGTATATTTGACCAAATTGTCCTTATTATATATTTTTTTTATAACAAGTTGGAAAATATTTATATATTTTCTTTAAAAAATTTAAATTCATAAAATTTATATAAAGTTTTTTACAAAATTGAAAATATAAAAATGTTTAATGAAATGGTAAAATTTTATTTTAATCCCTGAACTTCATATAAAATTTTAATTATAGATTTTTTTGTAAATCTAAAATAGTTTAACGATAAATTTGTAATTTAACATTCGTAGAATTTTTATTATTCAATGACAGAATAAGGATGTTTTTGAAAGAAAAAAATTAAGGGCATTTTAGTCCAAAACATTGGTAATCCAACAATACATAAGGAAAGGGAGTTAATGATATTCCCGGTAATATACCTCAAAAAAATTCACTATTGGTAATGTAAGATTACAGGGAATGACATTCCCGGCCAACCAAACGGGGGAATGTGGATTCCATTCCCATGGGAATCTCACATTCCCCCAACCAAACACACCCTTAGAGTAAATAGAGTACAGTTGAAACACTTATATTTTTCATTAAATCTAAAATTTTTGGAGGAAGAAGAGGACTAATGTTTTTTAGGTTAACTACGATGATCGTGTTTTTTTTTAATTTTTTGTCATTGATTATTTTTAAAAAATATGGTAAATTTTGTTTTCATTTAATTAAAATGTGGTCATCAGAGTTAACTGTTGTTAACAATTAACAGAATGTATGACGTGATAGTGGTTATAATCACACATTTGATTCTTTTTATTTACATATTCTCTCAATTTAATCATACTATTAAATAAATTTTAACATAAAATATATATTTTCAAATAAAATAAAATATTTTTAAATTAAGTTAATAATAAAATATATATAATAAGTTAATATAAAAATATTTTTAAGTTAATATATATAAAATATTATGAATATAAATATTTATACATTAAGATATAAAATATATACATCATGTTATCTATTTTAGACCAAGCAATGTTCTTGGCTTAATGGTTGAATGCATATTTAGATTCTTAAGAGATCAAGGTTTGAATTTCCCCCCCGAATTTGCTTTCTTTTGTTTTCTTTCAATCAGATGGTGACACATGTAACTCTTTGAATAGTGGAAATAAATATATTAAATTAAAATAAAATTAGTCCTCCAACCGAATGGTGACACGTGACATGACGAATGACATCATTCGATTGAAGGATTGAATTCAATTTAATTTATTAAAAGTACAACTAAATTGAGAAAATATATAAATAATATAAATCAAATGAGTAATTATATCAAAATGGTCATATCTTATATTTTTTGAAATTAGTGAAAAAAAATGGACAAAACACAAACATAAGTAATTATTCACGTAGTTAACTTTTTTTTTTTATAATTTTAATAATCAAGATAATTATTTTATCATATTAATATTTAAAAAAAATAAGGTTCAAATCAATATTTTTACTAATAAAGGAAAAAAAAAACCTATTAACCAATTTAAAAATATTAATGAAGAGAAATAATTTTATGGTATCATCAATAATCTAAACCAATTTAAAAATATCTACATCAATAAAATCATAAATTGTTGATATAATAAAATAATTGTGAAAACAACGGAAATAGAGAGCCAAAATGAATCATAATTTAATTTGAGCTTACAAATGGTATTAATTACTCTGTCAAAACATCACGAAGAAACAAAGAAAGAGCAACAGTAGTTGTTTAGTAGCAAAGCAAAGCAAGAAAACCAAAATAATAATAATAATAATAATAATGGAAGAAAAATCAATCATTAATAAGAGTTGACAAAACTGCAATTGGTTCGAATTTGGCCATCTTCATGTGGACCGGAGAGGACTTGAATGTTAGCCAGCCTTACCATGGACACTGCAAATTGGTGTCTGAAAAGGGATGGGGTTTGGATCAAAGCATTAACCACAGGTAAAGTCCTCGAATCAGAATAAAGTCTTTGATCAGTTGATAAAAGTCCCATCTTTCTCTCCAGATTGGCATAAAATTGGGAGTCGAAAGTGGTTGGTGTTGTAGCATCAAGATCAACGTACTCATCCCCTCCACATCTGCATTTTCTCTGCAAGTAATCCAAGTACCGATTGTCGATCGACATGTCCGATGTTCCATTCAAACCCTGGAATACCCGGTGCTGAATTGCACCACATGATGTCCTTCCAATGGTGTGCACTCCCGAGAGAACTACTAGGTCTACTAAATTAAGACCCTTGGATTGGAACAACTCGAGCAGCTCGGTAACGCTTTCACGACCTATCGGCACTGTGTCCGCGTCTTTTTCATTCGAAGTTGTGGAATCTTTCCTGCCGTAGGGAACCCTCCAATAAGGACCACCGAGTATGACAGTGGCGTCCCTAGTGGCTGCTGTTAGAATGTCGGTGCAAGAAACTGTTGCAAGGCAGGATTTCTCCACCTCCGCCTTGATATCGTCGATGACTTGGAATCCTCTCAAGGTTTTGCTTGTCCCGGCTCTCCTCTCACTCCCCTCGTGGTTCAACAGAATGGAAGCGTCGCATCCCTGACCAATTAAACGCAATAAGGCGACGGATTCATAAATACTTTTAATAGGTGGACACATTAATAACGTAAAATTGATTACCGTGACGAAGCAGTCATGAAAATGCAGCCTGAGGAGACTGGCGGCGAGAGTGTGATCCTTTGCGATCCAAGATTTGAGCTTTGTGCTGATGATTTGTTCGAGCTGTGGGCATCTCTGGTGGTAGTAATCAAAGGATAAGAAATCATCAAAAGGCCGAGTCTCTGGTACTGGTAATGTGGAAAAAGTTGGAAAAGAATCTTGTTCACCATCACCCCAGGCTGCACATACAATTGAGAGGAGAAAAAGGCAGACAAGGGAGCATTTCATTTTTCTGTTTTTTCCGTATATCTTTGATCTTTCTCTTTCACTTTCCAGACACTCATGATGATGGCTGCAATTGCCTTCTTATATATATTGCAGCTGCTGATGATTGGCATGCCACAATTATTAACTTATTTAATTACTAAACTACGTGGGACGCACCCCTACCATCGTGAACGACATGCTTGCCATGTCCGAATATCATTCTTTTATTAATATTATTTTTTAAATGAGTGTCGATGTTTGATTTATCTATATCGAATTTTGTATCAACTAAATTTACTTTTCTTGTAAACTTGGCGATTAAAATCTCTAAACTAATATTTTACCTCGATTAATTGATTATTTAATTAAGTGATGTAGTGCTTTTTGACTTTTAGTATTATTATTTCCTTTTGTTTTCAGGGGTTCAACGATGAAGTGAAAGGGGGCCTACAATACCCTAGTTGAACACGACCAAAAACCATAGACGAAAATAACTTTTGTAAAAATAAAATCATATGAATATAAACAAAAAAAATTGAGAATCCAACACAACTGCAGTACTTTAATCTTATCAAACTCACCTCTCTCATAATTTTAATCAAATCAAAATATACCAAAGTACAAACACAACCCAATCCAATCTATGTCCAGCCCACCTATATATATATATATATATATTACGAGCTTTGACCATAAGGTTATTAAAATATTAATTATATAAAAAAGTATGATAATATAAAATGAAAATATTTTTATAAAAGAATAAATTATTCTTAATATAAAAGTATCAATCATTAAATTTAATTGTCCAAAATTTAAAAAATCTATATTATGGAAATAGATTATATAAAGAGAAGGAAAATGTGGGATGATCGGTCTTTACGGTATAAATTTGATCTAAAAATATACAAAATCACTAAATATAAATAGATCTTAACTCATATATATTAAATATAAATAACTTGATTAATCGATTAAATATATTTACTCATGTACTTATGAGAAACTCAAATTATTTAAATATATAATAACCAAAACCTAAAATGAGTTTACTCAAATACTTGGATTGCCATCTCTACTCTGAAGTCTCAATTAGAATTCAAATAATCATTTTAAACTGATTTAGACAAATAAAAATATTGATTTGACTCCAACTTCAATTCCAAGGAGATCTGAATTTTTTTTGGGAATATAAGATTAATATTTTTAATTCAGGAATCAAACGAATTTATTAAACAAGAGGTGTCGGATTCGATCGATGCTTAATCGGATGAAATATAGGAACTTCATAAATTATAATTTAAATTAGTTTTATATCGAAAGCTTATTAAACAAAATAATGATTTTTCAAACTTACTCTTAAAGTTTTTATCGAAAGTTCTTACTTTTAATTTTACCTTTAACATAAATAAACCTACCACTTCATTAATTACAAATCTATAGGACATTATTTAGGTATGGAAAAAATATTTATGGGTGTAATTAAATGAAATGATATAATTTAGAGGATTCTTAGTATTTGAGCATTCTTTTATTTTCTTTGTTTTTTATGAATAGTTTAGGGTGATTATAAGGTATTATGTGTTCAAAATCTTTTTTAATCATAGGCAAGACATCGCCACCTACAAATGCAGATGCTTGAACTCATGACCTCTAAGGAGAACAACACTCCCTTATAGCCAATGAGGCCACTTGATGTGTTCTATTCTTTTATTAAAAATTAACCATAAGGCCAAATGTGATATTTTTAAATAGAAAATAAATACAATGTACTCAATTAGACATAAATTTTTTATAATATGAGTTAGTAATTAGATATGGATTGAGATTTGATAGTTAAGACTAGATCTACTTTCCTATTTTATCTCATTTTCTTTTAAAGTACAAGAAATGCTATTATATAAGAAGGAATTGAGAGGGTAAATAAATACTATTAATCCAATCCAATATTATATATACTTTTATAGATAAAAAGTTACCAAAATTTTAACAGAGATAATAGAATGAGTTCTTTTTCACTGAAATGTTGCTTTTTGGGTCTTCTATGCTTGGCCATCTTCTTCTTCTTCTTCAACATAGGTAAAACTCCTTGCCCATACTATCATTCATCAAACTTTAAATCAATATATATATATATATCATTATAAAGAAGTTTTTTTTATTGGCGCTTGGTTTTGAACTTTGAATATTATCTGGGATTTCAGAACAAACAAATGCAGAGGAATCGGAAGCAGTGATGGGGCCATGTTCACAGTTCAAGATTGCAATATGTATTGCCTCTCCAATGGCTTCCCTTTGGGAGGTTTCTGTAAAGTGTTGAATCCAAATGCTCCACCTCTCCAATGATGATGTAGGTATTATAAACATAAATAATGTTGGACATGACATTGGAGAATCATCATCAAAGGAAGAAACGAAAGATGAGGAAACTCAAGATCCTCTCGAGAATCCAACCATTGAAGAAAGGGAAGTCTCTTACCCAAGGGAATAAAACTATGTCAAGGATGTTGAAATAATAGGTGATCCATCCAAAGGGGTAACAACTCGATCTTCTCTTAGAAATATTTGTAATTATGTTGCATTTATCTCATACATAGAGCCTAAGAATATTAAAGAAGCATTAAATGATGAACATTGGATTATGGCTATGCAAGAATAGTTAAATCAATTTGAGAGAAGTAAAGTATGGACATTAGTTGAAAGACCTAGTAATAAATCTATTGTAGGTACTAGATGGGTATTTAGGAATAAGCTTGATGAAAGTGGTAATATAGTGAGAAACAAGGCTAGACTTGTTGCTCAAGGGTATACTCAAGAAGAGGGCATAGACTATGATGAAACATACGCTCTCGTAGCTAGGATGGAAGCAATTAGAATGTTATTAGCATTTGCATGTTTTAATGAATTTAAATTATATCAAATGGATGTTAAAAGTGCATTTTTAAATGGTTTTATAAAAGAAGAAGTGTATGTGGAACAACCTCCTGGTTTTGAAGATTCAAAATTTCCAGATCATGTTTTTAAATTGACAAAAGCTCTTTATGGTTTAAAACAAGCTCTTAGAGCTTGGTATGAAAGATTGTCAAATATTTTAATTGAAAAAGGTTTTTCAAAAGGGAAGGTTGACACTACATTGTTTTTAAAGCATAAAGGTAAAGATTTATTAGTAGTACAAATTTATGCTGATGATATAATATTTGGTTCTACTAATGATGTTCTTTGCCAAGAATTTTCTAAGCTAATGCAAAGTGAATCGAGATGAGCATGATGGGGGAGCTCTCATTTTTCTTGGGATTCCAAATCAAGCAAAGAAAAGATGGCATCTTCATCAATCAAGCTAAGTACGTCAAGGATATGCTCAAGACGTTTGGACTGGAAAATGGGAAACCTCATGACACTTCAATGAGCTCATCTACAAAGCTTGACAAAGATGAAGGAGGTAAATATGTGGATGTTAAATTATATAGGTCAATGATTAACTCTTTGCTTTATTTAACCGTAAGTAGACCGGACATTATGTTTAGTGTTTGCTTATGTGCAAGATTTGAATAATGTCCTAAGGAATCACATTTACTAGCTGTTAAGAGAATCTTTAGATACCTTAAGGACACTTATAGTTTAGGACTTTGGTATCCTAAAGACTCTAGCTTTAGCTTGCATGCCTTTTCTGATGCGGATTATGGAGGATACAAATTAGATAGGAAAAGCACCTCCGGCACTTGCCAATTCATTGGAAATATGCTGATTTCTTGGTTTTCAAAGAAACAAAATTGTGTTGCATTATCTACCACTGAAGCGGAATACATTTTAGCTGGTAGTTGTTGTGCACAAGTTTTATGGATGAAACAACAACTTTTTTATTATGGAATTGAAGTAGGAACCATTCCTATCAAGTGTGACAATACTAGTGCTATTTGTCTCACTACAAATCCCATCCAACACTCTAGAATTAAGCATATTAAAATTAGGCATCACTTCATTAGAGACCATGTCGCTAAGGAAGATGTAGTTCTAGAATTTGTTGATACTTTGCATCAATTAGCGGATATATTTACAAAACCTTTAGACAAAGAAAGATTTTGGACACTCAGGAGAAAATTAAGTTTAACTGACCTATCTTCACTTAGTGTTTAAATTTATTTTAGCACTTTTAAGAATAAATGAAAAATGCTTATAATAATAATAATTTTTTATTGCATTCTTTGCTATTAGTTAGGGGGAGTTTATGATTCTTAGTAAAAATTAATTTTATGTTCAAATATAGTTTAATGATAAAATTGATTGATTGAACATGATTAATTTTCAATATATGAGTTGACAATACAACTAGAGCTAAATTATTTAGCATTTTAAGTGTTTAAAACAGATTTTTGACATTTTGTACATAATGCATCGATACACTATGAAAGTGCATCGATGAATCCCTTTGAATGTGCATCGATACATCATGAAGATGCACCGATGTGCATCGATGCACAAGGCCATGCATCGATGCATCCGTTGGGTTTTTGGTTAAAAACCATATTTCTTCTTCATTTTCAAACTCTCTTAAACACTCTCAAATTGCCGCCGCTCCTCTCCCTCTCCTCACTCTCAAAATTGCTCCAAAACCTACGTTTTTGATCGGAAATCATTCGTATTACTTCTCTAAATCCTGCTAACATCATTAAATCATGCAAAACATCATCACATTCCACTCAATTTTTTCAAGGTATTTTCCAAAAACCTCTATTTTATCAAATTTTGATTTTAGAACTGGTTTAGATTAGTTCTAGGATGAACATTAAAAAATTTATTGATGTTTTCGATTTAATTGTGTTATTTTCATGAAAACTATATGTATTATGATTTCTCAAATATTATTTTCAAATAGTTTCCAAAATCTTGCCCATTAGGATTCGGTTTAGATAATCTTGAATTATTGCAGACTCTTTTGAGTTTTGGGATTGATTATATTGCATACATGCTTTTAAATTTGCAGGTTACCTATCCAATTTCGATTCCTAATCCATGTCCAACCC